AGAAAAAAAAAAATGAATCGTTTGGAACATGGAAATTTGACAATCAGTGATTTTTGATTGTGCAAAAATATGGCACAAAATTCAAATAATCTGCTTTTTTTTCTTCCAATTTCTGGCTTCAAGATTTTTTTAAAAATTAACCAACCATACTTTTATGTAGTACCTACATAAAATACACTTACAGTTACAGTTACAGATAAATTATATACCTAATTTTGATTGAGTGCAAAAGGTCCATTGTTTGGACACATAAACATTCTTAGCAATTTAACAATAATTGTGCAACGTATGTAGCTCATTGACGTTGCTGCCATATTGAGATTATGCATATTCCCATAACTACTTTTAACTGACAGACGGGAAAAAATTGATCTCAACTTTGAAAAATTTTGACATTTTTATTGTTTCTGCCAATTTTTAATATGCCTTGGATACATCTGCCAATATATTTCTTGGATTTTACTTTGCATGTCAAACTTATCTTCCAAATGGCAGATGGGAGAAAATTGTTTCAACATCTCAGCATTTTGATACAACTTCAAAAATTGTTAAATATTATTATATCAACCGAGATTTTCTGCCATTTACTTATTGATGTATTACATCGTAAATGTAACATAAATTTAATTTGGCAGACGGGAGGTCGTTGATCCACATGTCCGATTTTGGTGACATTGTGAATTTAGTAATATGACACTTTATACTAACTCAGGGTTTCCGCCATTTAGCATCCTTCTACTCATTTTTGTTAAAATTACCTTCACAATGTGTGGCAGACGGGATAATATTGATCCACATCTCCACTTTTCATTACATTTTCAAATTAGCATATCATTGTATTGTCACACGCGGGGCTCTTTGAAATTTCAGCCATTCTACTCCGTAAGAATAACCACCCTTAATGGCAGACGGGAGAAAATCGTTTCAAAAAAATGGTCGTTATGCACCGGTCTATAAGGGAATCATTGTTTGGGGAAGGTTGCTACCTGCATTTTACTAATGAAAATACCTACCTACCTACCTGTACCCTTCATGTGAATTTTTTTCTGAAAGCATATCCATGCTCACCTCTGGCCAGTTTCCCGGCGGGATCAGCTTTTACAAACCCTTTTCCATCCTTTATCACAAACAAAATAAACAATAATTACCTAACTAAAAAAATGATTGTTATTTTTCTTTTAAGTGGTTTATAGGAAATAAAACACAGAGTATAATTTTTATGTGTCTGTATTCCATACCTTTTCCTAAACCAGATTTGGCAATGTTCTCTTAGTCAATTTATGAAAATTTTAGGGCTTGTGGCAACAACGCAGATTTAGGTATCTCTCATTTGGTTAAACTTCTCTCTAATAGATGGTAGAACTGTCATTCTAGTTAAGCTGCTCATAATAAGAGGAGGCATTCTATCCATCGTGTGATAAATAATGATTTAATCTTGTAGTCTCTTTTCCTAGACCAGATTTCGATTTGGCAACGTTCTTTTACCCAATTCATGAAAATTCCAATGATTGTAGTAGCAACGCACAGATTCAGGTAACTCTCTAATAGAGGGCAAGATCACACAATTTCTCTCTAATAAATGGCAAAACTATCATTCTAGTTGGGCTGCTCAATAATAAAGGGCATGCATTCTATCCATCCTGTGATAAATAATGATTTATTATTGTATTATTTATCGTTTCCAGGATCTTATCTCTGTTCATAAACTAGATTTGACAACGTTCTTTTGCTCGATTTGTGAAAATTCTAGTGATTCTGGCAACAACGCAGATTTAGGTATTTCTCTAATAGAGGGCGACAGTGTTGCCAATCACCCCATAATTATCGAATTCTACCATAATTTTGACTACGATTCAATAATCGATAATGACAAGATAATCTACCATGATTTATTGAAACTACAATTTTAACATAGATTTTTCAAATTTCTAGTTAAAAATTAAAAATTTATTAAAAAATTGAAGGTGGTTGTTGGTTTTGAGTGTTTTGACATAGGTACTGGTGCAAACACCAAATACTAGTCCCAGATTGAGCCCAAGTTTCATACCAATAACTTTACTGGTTTCCAAAATATGGCCCTTTGAAATATTTGAAAATCAAATTCCTATGCATACCCCTTTGGAAAAATTCGAATTTTTAAATTTTTGGATTTTGCAATGTTTGACTTTACCAATCAAAAGAGGAGATCAAAATTAGTGAAAAAGCATTTTTGCAACTTTGTTTTTAGAGTTTTAAAGCCTCGTAAAAAAATAAAAACGATTTTTGGGCTCAAAAAGTTCAATAATCTGATCACAAAGTTGCTGATTACTCGGTTATTATTGTAACAAATAAATATAAAATTATATATTCTGAATCAGAATTAAATTATCTTCAAGACAAAATAAGATTCAATTCTATATCTTAGATACTTGTGAAGATATTGAGGCTCAAAGTTGAAATTATGCCTCAAATTTTGCAAAAGCTTTCAGGCCGATTACCTTGAAAACGAAACCCTTGGGCTCGGAGTCCTAAATAACCTTTTTTGTAGCCCCTATTAAGAGCTACAATTGGGCAAAAGATTCATGCCAATAGCTCCACTGGTTTCCAAAATACAAGCATTTGAAATATTTGAAAATCCAATTTCCATACCCCTTTGGAAAAGTTCGAATTTTAAAATTTTTAGATTTTGCAATTTTTGACTTCACTAATCAAAAGAGGAGGTGGAAGTTAGTGGAAAAGCATTTACGCAACTTTGTTTTTAGGGTTTAAGGCTTGTAAAAAAATAAAAACGATATTTGCAATTTTTGGACTCAGAAAATTTCAATAATCTGATATTCTTTCACAAAATTGCTCGGTTATTATTGTAACAAATATAATGTAAAATTAAATATTCTGAATCAGAATTAAATTATCTTCAAGATAAAATAAGATTCAATTCTATATCTTAAATACTTTTGAAGATATTGAGGCTCAAAGTTGAAACTTTGTCTCAAATTTTGCAATAGCTTCAAAGCCGATTATCTTGAAAATGAAGCCCTTGGGCTCGAAGTCTTAAATAACTTTTTTTTTGAAGCTCTTATTGAGAGCTACAATTGCCAGAGTCCCAGTTAGAACCCGGAAAATGGAAATAGAGATAAAAAGTCAAAAAAGTTGACAGAAACTTTTTCTGATAATTTTTCTTGGAATCTGATAATTTTGTTCTCAAATCCTGATAATTTTAAATTTGACATCTGGCAACACTGGAGGGCGACTTCATTTAGTTAAACATCTCTCTAATAAATTACAAAACAGTTATTCAGGTTATTCTCTAGTTGCTTGATAATACAGGGCACTTATCAGGTTAATTTGCTGACTAGACAAAATACTTAGTACTGAATTTTTCTACCAACTAACAAAGTTAGAAATAAATGCACAATACTTCATCGAAATTTGAGAATATCAAAATAAATTATACATCATTAGGAAGAGTATTAAGTTCTTTATAAATTCGTGCTAAATTTTTCCAATGTTTTTTGAGCAATTGAGCCTCAAAGTTGAACTATAATTTTTTTATTTTCCGAATTTTTTATTCATGACCGATCCAAGGAGGTTAAAGCCTAGCAATAAAGAAATTTTAATGTCGAAATGACTAATCCTACTTTGGAAACCAATCAAGTATTCATAAACATTGAAATTAATTTATTTCTTATTATAAATTTTTGAATATTTATGCAAATTATTGTTAGGTACTTCAAAATCCTACGTATTTTGTCCTAAATTTTGCCTCAAAAAAAAAATCACAATTTAATGAAAACCCTACATACCGCATATCCGGTGTTTTATGCTCCATCCCATTATAATATAAATTTTGTTTAACTCTCTCGGCAAAACAACATTTTATTTAATGTAGTGGAAATGGCGAAAAACGGACATTGCATAAGGTCTAAAAATAAATCCAGCGCCCGAATGAATAACAATTGACCTGGCGAGTTCAATTTGTTTCGAATAATAATGTTATTTCATTTATTTGATTAATTGAACATTGAATCAAATTTCCTGTACTTTATTATAATACTTATCAGAAAAGTGCATTTTCTAGTAAACTTGCTATAATGGTTTGTACAAATTGTACTCATTTAGCCGGCCACTAAACTTGGATATGTAAAGTCTTTGAAGCCTCATTAAACCCATTAAGGATACTATTGTTGGTACAGTGATAGGAAATTTTTATCAACCTTGTAGATTTTAAAATGTATTTGTAATAGAAACAATCATCCACTAATCTTTGAACCAAAATATCGAAAAGTTTTAAAATTGAAAATCACTTACTTTTGAGGGCATTGAGTGCACATTGAATCTAATCCAGCTTCTATTCAATTTTTCAAAGGGCATTTCAGTCTCTTATTTTTTGATTTTTTGGCCTCGTAATTTTAAGGGCCAATGAGTAAATTAGCGTCATTATTCTTGTTTGTCCAGTAGAGGCTCTATTTTTAGAGTACCTATTGGCTATTTATTAGCCAGGTCACCAGGAAGCGTGAGATAGAGAATTCTGGGGCACGTGTTATTAGTTCAATGACATTTTAATCAAGTAGCAATTAAAATGGACTCTGGCCGGCTTACAGCCAGATTTCAAATGTATTTTCAGATAAAATTCAAAAATGAAATACAAACAGTGGTTGTCAGATTATTGAGCTTTAGGGAATGGATGACGTGGGATTTGAGAATGAGCCAGTCAGGAAAATATATAGAGCTTTTTTGTTTTTGGGAATTAGTTGGCCTCCAGAGTAAAAACATATCGCTCGATTTTTCACATTTCATTTTAATTGGAAAAACGAAAAAAACAATAATAAATGCCACTTTATTGGTTCAATATTGCTTTGTTCCGATAACCAATATAATGCCAAAAATCTATCAATAATAATTGGCTAATGTTTGAAATTTGAATTATATTGTAACAACAACCTGTTCTTGTAGTTAAATTTTATCAAAAAAGACAATACGAACATGGAATTATTTGTGCGGTGAACAAACCATTGTCTGCAATGGAAAGTTTAGAAGACGTGGCGGCCAGGGAAGAGGCCGAAAGACAGCAAAGTTTGAGGGATTTGGAACAATTGTACGAGTGGCTGCAACAGTTCGAGGATCCACCACCTGCGCCCAGGCCTCCGCCACCTTATCAATTTAGAAACGGTTAGTAATTCTATTGATTCATTAAAACTTATCACATCTCAACAAACTGCCGATTCTGTTGTATAGCGCGTCGTTGTCTAGACAATTTGCTGGACTAAATTTGATTCGCGATTTTTCTAGTCAACAGGCAGTGTTGCAAGATTGTTTTTACTTTCTCCAACACGTGAGAGTTTCCAGTAAACATGTTGACATAAAATTAAAGCAGCTTAGAAATGAAAAACTCATATTTCAGGGCCTCTAAAAGTATGTTTATACAAGTAGAGAAAGCCTCAAAATCTTTGCTCAAACTCTAATGGAATCTAGTTCGATAAACTTTCATTTCTTGACTTAATAAACACTTTCCAAAATGCTTTTGCTGTCGAGACGATAAAAAAAAGTTTCCAAAATAAAAAAACAGAGCATAATTTCTGCTTTGTTGTGGCACAAATGGACTATAAATTGTGTAAATTTTTCAAACAAATTTTGAATTGAAGGTCACATAAAAGGCCTTTATAATTGGCACAAGTTCTTCAGCGTGAAACGACAAGGCGACATCCACCGTGTGGAGGTTATTAACATGACGTTACACCTCCGGCGAATGCAGTCTCTTTCTCTGGGCTGTCTTTTTGTCGTCTATAAATAACAGGCGCGACACGGTCGCCATATTTATAGTACTGTTTACGAACAATTACACGAAAAATTATTATTGAAATCAATCCTGCAATTAAAGCTCTCATGGCTTGGGGCTTTTAATTTTTCAAGATAAGTTTTTAAGTATAATAAGAGACGTTTTATTGTTCAAAGTTTTCGTTCTAGGTTTATTAGAATTCGAAAGGTGCAGTGTGAATCATTTAGAAAACACCCATGCATCATAATACGGTTTTATTTTGCATATATGAACGGATAATAACATGGGAATAGAAAGTAAGTGTCCTTGAAGCCGAATAAAATAAAAGCCCATAGAATTTTTTTTGTAGTTCCCAAAAGTTTGAATTTCAAACCTCACATCCACAACCATTAAAGTAGGACTTCATGTTTTACAACGAATCTGCCCAGTTTCTTGATTATTTGAGTTGAAACCTAAAGTAATACAGATTTTGCATTATCACTATTCATCAAAGCATACAAATTCTCATTTCTTCAACTCCTTTGAAATCAAGTTTCCAATGAAGTCTAGAAGTCTTTAAAGCTTTGTTTCTAGTCTTAAGTCCTTAACTGTTTAGTGTGTTTAAATCATCAAATTTTTATGAATATTTAAGTATCGTGTCTTCAGAATCTCTAGTCCAGTTCTCAAACTAAAGTTTTCAAATTTCTCAAAATGTGGACAGGCTTTGAGAAAGGATTTTTATGCTTCTTTAGTTCTTAAGAAAGCCAGTTTATAATATTTTATGTACAATCGGGCGGTAAGTTGATTTTACCGCCCGCCTCTTTCTCCGGAGATAAATCAGCTTAGAATTATTTATTATATTCACCCAACAACTATACCTACATATATTATTACCAAAATCGGTGTGGATAACCATGAAAAATATAAAAGTTGTTGATTTTTGGAAGATTTACAAATACAGAACTTGCCAATTTTTCAGTGGAAACGCGCCTTTATAATATAAAGGGGAAAACAGAGGAAGACTGTTTAGACTCTTATGGAAAACGGAATGTTGAATGTTTTTGAAAATTTGTATGCCAAAGTAATTGCTCTTGATCTATCATCCTAAAATAATTTCAAAAATACGACGTTGCCACTCATACCAAAAAGTAATATAAACTTTGATGTTTCAAATGAAACACCCTGTATATTATTGCATTTTTCGCTCCGCTATTACTTTCTGATCTAGGGTTGCCAACACTTTCGGAAGTAGATCTACTAAATGAGATTTTAGAATCTACTAGACGAGAATTAGGTACTTTTTTATTTCTACCAAAAAATGTATTGGGCATTCCGAACTCCCCTTAGAGTCGGTTTCTCAATAGCGAGTTATCTCCGGGTTGGTTTTAACTCCAGGGTAAACGTGTCAAATTGATATGTTTACCCTGCAGTTATGCTTAACCCGGAGGTGACTTGCTATATTGACAAACCGGCCTTTAATAAAAAGGAAGATGGAAGCTGATTTGTTATATCACTTGCTAATGACTCTCATTCTTTGTGGGGAATATGAAGGAACTCATCGGACTTTATGAGAATTTGGGGAATTTATAGGGAATTTGAAGAAATTTATGGGGGATTTGGAAGAATTTGTGAACATTTTATGAGGAATTTGAAGGAAATTGAAAGGTCATGACGACGTCACTGAGGTTCACATTCTCATCATAAGAAACATTAATAAAGGGAAATTTGAAAAAAATACTAGTTTTGTGTTGGACGTTGGACATTCATTTTTATTAAAAAAAATTTCCCAAAATTTCACTTCATGATTCACAGGTCCAAATTTAAAAAATACAAAAGAATAACGAGTACAGTTTTTTTAGGTTGATTCCCAAGATTCTTCATGTTATTTTCCACTGGAAAAATTTCAAATTTTAGGAAAATGAGCTTCTCACCTTCCTCTTTACATGCAAAAAGTTTCAAAATTTTCCCTCAACTAGTTTTCCAGAAAAACTTTGAAATATGTGAGACTGTATTTTCAATTAATTCGGTTATTGTAGGTTGATTTCCAAAATTCCTCATGTTAATATTTTATATTGAAAAAATTTGAAATTCTGGGAAAATGAGCCTCTAACCTTCCTCTTCACATGCAAAAAGCTTCAAATTTCTCCCTTCACTAGTTTTCCAGGAAAACTTTGAAATGTGTGTGACTGTATTTTCAATTAAGTCAGTGTTTGTAAATTGATTTTCAAGATTCTTCATGTTAATATTTTCTACTGAAAAAATTTGAAATTCTGAGAAAATGAGCTTGTACCCTTCCTATTTACATGCAAAAAGTTTCAAATTTCTCTTTTCACTAGTTTTCCAGCCAAACTTTAAAATGTGTGAGACTGTATTTTCAATTAATTCAGTTATTGTAGGTTGATTTCCAAGATTCCTCAAGTTGTAATTTTCTACTGGAAAAATTTGAAATTTTGGGAAAATGAGCTCTTACCTTCCTTTTCACATGCAAAAAGTTTCAAATTTTTCCATTCACTAGTTTTTCAGGAAAACTTTGAAATGTGTGAGACGGTTCAACCAATTCAGTTTTTGTAGGTTGATTTCCAAGATTTTTCATGTTGTTAGTTTTCACTGGAAAAATTTGAAATTTTGGGAGAATGAGCCTCTAACCTTCCTCTTTACATACAAAATGTTTTAAAATTTTCCCTTCACTAGTTTTCCCGAAAAACTTTGAAATATGTGTTATGCGCTTGGCACACTTTTGTGCAATCACCTTGTTGCACCTTGCAGGAGTGATATTGCACTAGATTGAGTTTGACTATAGGATATAAAAAATACTTCTTTTGACCAATTTTACGTCGTTTATTAAAGAAGGTAGGTATATCAAGGACCCAGCTCTGAAGAAAAATAATTCGATACTTTTCTACATATTTAAGGCATAGAAATCGCCACAAACAAAAATGAATAAATGCCAAAAAAACAAGATAAATAATATAAATATATTTGTCAAATACCTGCAAAAATATATTTTGACAGGACACCGAAGAAAATGCCATAGAATAAAAACTTTGAGGACGTCTGACCCCCTTTTTGCAACGAACTAGATGTCTGACGATTTACATACGTTACCTGTGACCTTCAAACAGATAATGTTCAAAATTTCTATAAATTTTGAGCTTTGAGAAAACAGTTTAGATGCTTCTTAAGATTACAACTTTGCCCGCGTCCCAGAGCCAGCTGTCCCGGAACTGTGAGTGCTGACTGTACACTAGCATTCTAGCACTAAAGTACGACCTATTTTGAAAATATCCGCCTTGCGAAAACTCTTGCATGTTTTTGGCGCCATCTCCTGGACTATATTAAGTTCAAAATGAGTAAGTTCGTTTTCCTTGTTGTCACGCCAAACTATACGCTGCAAGCATCTTTGGGTAGGCTCAATAAGTATTTGGCGGTACATTTTGGCAATGTCGCCAGTGATAACAAAGTTGTGCCGTCTAAAACGAATGAGGATGGAAAAAAGGTCGTTTTGAATGGTAGGACCGACTCTAAGTACATCATTTAAAGAAATGCCAGAAGAGGTTTTAGCGGACGCATCAAAAACTACTCTGAGCTTGGTTGTTAGACTATCTGTTTTTTCTACAGCATGATGGGGAAGATAAAAAATAGGGTATGAAACGTTTTTATTTGGATCAATCTTTGACATGTGACCTAGATTGTGATATTCATGTATGAAATCAATGTATGCCTTTTTATATTCTTGGTTTTTCTCAAATTTCCTTTCAATGGCAAGAAATCTTTTTATTGCTATCTCCTTTGATTCTCCCAGTCGATTAAAATTGTCCTTTAATGGGAGGGTGAGTTGAAATCTGCCCGAAGGCGTACGGCAGTGTGTATTAACAAAATGGGATTCACACTTACCTAAGTTCTTCTGTGGAAAACTTATTTGTACTGATGTCGTCCGATACTTCTTCAATTTTCCAGAACTTCTCAATGGTTTCATATAAATGATCATTATTGATGCTAACAAAGCAGGCTGTATGAGAAGGTTTTGGACTCGGTTTTGGATTAGGAAGAAAGATGGGACCTGAAATTATCCAGCCAAGTTTGGTTTGTTGAAGAATTGGGTTGTTTTTTCCAAGTCTTATTTGCCCTGTAATTAATAAGTCAAAAAATAGTTCCGCTCCTATAAGCATATCAATATCAGACTGCTCATGGAAACTTGGATCGGCTAACTGGATATTATCGGGGATGTTAATTGAAGATATGTTAATAGCCTTTTGAGGTAGTGGTTCAGTTATTTTGTCTATTACCAAGGTGGATATTTTAAAGTTATATTTTTTGTGAATTGAAGTAGCATTCAGGTGGACGCGCTTGTTTATGAATGTTGTTCCCTGGTTAATTCCACAAATTGGAACATTTACCCTCTCAGGAGTGTGGT